TGATGCTGGAGCACAGATGTCCTCTATCAGGTGGTGTGTCATGTATGAAGATGGCAGAGGCTGGTGTGGTATACATGGCGTGGCACATAAGGGGGCTGTGGGAGAGAAAGGGACTAGGCTTGATGCACGTGGTCAAGCAGAGATGGTGCTTTTGCTCAGAAAGCTCTGCAGCTGTGTCTGGTTCCTCGGCTGGGTACTCTCCAAGCTTCTGGGCTCCTCCTGTCGCAGAGTCTTCACTATTAATCCTGCAGCAGGATTTTGAAACTGTGGTAATTGGGTCTCGTGACAGTAGGAGCGATGCAGAAAGCAACACAAAACTGCTGGGCAGAGTTTGAATTCCGTTAGGATGCTTAGAGCAACAAAAGGACGCTGGTGCCTGAGCACCATAAGCCTGCAACCTCCCTCAATGGAAAAGCAATCGGTGGGAGAAGGCGCCTGTAGCTGTGCCGGTGTATTACAGCGCGGCTTGCCCAGTCTCCGCCAATTTGGGTTGCATGCATGTTGATGGTAACTTCCAGTGCTGTTACTCTCCAAACTTCTGGCGCATCCCTGTGAGTGGCTTAATTGTAATATTGTCTGTTCCAGTTCTTGGTAATTCGGTGATAATGAGGTACACTGTAGCTAGAAGATGCCTTTCTTTTTATCAGAAATGAAATATTAACAGTAAAAAATACTTGATGCTGTTGTGTCTGTTTTTGTAAGAAAAATGGAACGGTTGGGCTTAGACTAAAACATCTGGAAAAAATGAGAGATTACTGAGGTATAGCGCACGGGTTGGGAGGTTAGCTCAGCCTGCGGTGGAGCGTGCCTCAGTACCCTGCCTGTTTGCTTAGCACGAGGTGCCGGTGCCCGGGGCCTTCCTTCGGACCCTGGCATCAACACCTGACGCGGTGGGAGGCGGCTGGGCCGTGACTAAAGCTCCCTGGGTTAGATGCAGGCCTGAGGCATCCTCTGGTTGGAAAAAAACCACTTCTTTTACATTATTTCTATTTCTTTCCACTAGAAGATAGTCTTGAGTCAAATGTTACGTACTTCAAGCAGCAACTGTGACTTTTAACGCTCATTTAAAATGTTGATTTATTCAATAGTGTAAATACAAATTGGCCTGCCAGCAGATGATGAGAACAAAACTGCGGCAGTGAACGTTATGTTGGAATATGGCTGATGACAAGGAATGCGTGATACGTGCTGGTATTGGGTGACACGTGCTGTATCGGCAGCATCGTCCTGTAAGAACGTTTCAGTGCTGGGAACACAAGGGACGAAATACAGAAGTTATTCCTAACTGCAGTGCGCGAGGCTCCCAGGAAGCGGTGGCCCATAACCGTAACGTCTCAAAGCACGTCACATCAGAGAATTTATCTCTGGTTCTCTTTTCTGTGGTCCTCGGTATCTCCATTTAAGTTTCCTGAATAGCTGCTTCCTCATCCCACTTTCTAAAATAACTGGTATTTGCGTAACTGACCAACTTAATGTTTGGGGTTTGGAGGAGTGCGGTGTTTTGGTAGTGCATGGCCTGTTCTGTGCTTCTGGAGCAATAAAATGGCTACAGGTGAGATCTTGTGGTTCTCATGTGGCAGCACTTCGGTTCGTTAACAAAAGCATTTGGTCTCATGTTAAAGGCCGTCACACACACAAATTCGTAACGTGCCGAACTCGGGCTGTCCCATTGCACAATTTCCTGTTACAACAGATGGGAGATTCCAAGTGGACTTGTACGTAAGCGTGTTTTTCTGTGGTATCAGACTCATCCTGAGAGTTAAAAGCAACCAATTTCTGTACGGATCTCGGAGTCCGCTTTAAATCTTATTCCTTTCTTCTGGCGTTCAATTTAAGGTACATATCTTGGATGATGCTTTAACAACTAGAAAATGTATGGGAGCCAGCTAGCCTTTGTTCCAGCGCCGTCCTTCCCCGTTCAGCTTCCCCGCGCGCAGGTGTTCTGCTGCCTAGCACTTCAGCAGTTTGTGCTATAGCGCGACTTCCTCGTCATGCCTTTCCTAGGCACAAACGCGAGCCTGGTACAAGAACCAGGGAGACCTCTAAACAAGTTCTCAGAGCTGGATTAAAAAACCAAAAACAACAACAAAAAATCCCAGAAAATGATAGGATGAAGCCTTCTCTCGCATCACAGTGCCCGAGCACGGTTAACTGGAAATCGTTAACATTTTCCAGCAGGCCGCAACACGCTAACGTTGACGATATTTTGGAATAACTCGTTCTTTATTTACTACCATTGTAAACATCTCTTTCCATTACACAGACATCACAGTTTACATTATTGCTTTTATATTGTGGTAAACGGAAATTCCTATCAGTATGCAGCTATCTAAGCACAGTGTGATAAGAAGAAACTGCCCACAAGCTGTCTTGGGCTGGGTTTTCTTTTTTTCCCTAGCGAAAGACAATGTGTAGAGGGGCACAAGAACCATCAGTCCAAAGACTGATCACCGTTGTACTACAGCAACACAAAACAAGTATGACAGAAAGAAACAACAGGTCACATCTTTACCACGCACTGACTAGCAGTATTTTTCAAGAATAACCCACTGCTGAACTCCCACCTAACTAAATACAGACTTATTAATCACGATAGTTCTTAAAAAAAGGCTAACCAGTTTTCTTCTTTTTTTGTAAAATGTTTGGATAGAAAATCTGGAAAATGAGTGCTTGGGGCTTTGTGTGTGTTTAATTTCTTGTTTGCTTTTTCCGCTTTGTTTTTCAAAGAGTGAAAATCCAAAACTATTTATATGAGGTGCTTAAACTGGCCCCTCTTCCTATCGTCCTTTAGGACAAAATGCCCTCTTTACACTGCTGTGTCGGGTGACAGAAGCACAACCAGTTGACAAACATCCTCGGTTTCTTTCTTACTAAGTAGCACTGTTTTCAAATCGCTTTCCAAGTTGGTTACTTATGAAGCAATGCGTGTACTTTACTGAAAGACCAGATTTTACTGTTGCTTGGGGTAAACTTATCTTCAGATGAATTTGTTCATGGAGTGACACCACGTTTCAGACACACGCTCAACACCCGAAGCAGAGGTAGTTTGTTAAACAGTTGCTACAGGAACAACAACAACAAATTTAGAGAACCACCTTGTCGTCTTCAGTTTTAGATTTCTTTCTAAAATGACTATTGCATATAAACTTTCACACAGTGAACGCTTTAAAGAGGCAGCAAGTTAGAAAACTAACAGTACTTGCAAATTCTAAGAAAGATAATGCATACTTTAAAACACGACAGTTAATAAATAACAGGAGAATTTACCAATGTTTTAAGACTCTTAGAATAAACCATGAGCAACAAATTGTGATGTTCAACAAACTGATTATATCAACTTGCAGAAAGGTGGCCTACCTCCATCTTGAATCTTCCATAAGCTTAGGATTGTCGCCCTACAACAGTTAGTATAAAGTACCGCTGACCAGTCAAACATTGGTCTTCCCTTCCCTAAACACAATTTTACCTTTTTCTATATAATTTCTAGCTACCACCATAACACAATTAGCCTACCACTGGTGCAAAACAGGGACACCCAGTACTAGTCTACATACAGCGAGTGACTCCTAGGCAGGAGGACTGGGCTACTTGATCGTACAAAACTACATGCAAATTCTAACTGCTTACTGGGAAGGTGTATTGGGGCCTAACGTGAACATTCACCTTAATTACTACATGCAAACTAATGCGTTCCCATATATCTCGCTCATCTGATGACGGCTGGGTTTACTTTTTGTCTTTGTATGCTGCCACGGTTTACTCCCAGCTCATACTTTTTAAAAAATTTTTTTAAATAAAAGCTAATGAAGATGCATCAGGCTCAATCTACATTCTACACTAAAATGTCTCAGGTGTGTGATAGGAAATCTGAAATTTGATGGTTGGGCTTTAAAAGCCTCAGCAGTAGTTAAATGCCAGTCTCCTAGCGAACAAGGAGCTGAGTGACAGTTTCAGGCTGGAAAGAGGAGGGTGCAGGTAATTTTTGCAACTGTACCAAAAAAAAAAAAAAAAAAGTTGCAGACTCCAGCACGGGGGTGTTTTAGAGAGAGATGGCTGAAGCAATTTTGCTACTTGCTAGCAAGCGGGGGGGGAGAAGGATGGGATCTCCTTCCCTGCTGCTGCTGAACGTATTGGGGTCACTTCTGAAATTCAGAAAGTCAGTCTTGTGTTTCTTGCAAAGGAAATCCACAAGCAATAGCAAAAAATATTAATGAAGACAAACACGACAGAAGCTGGGGCTAGAAAGTAGCACAGCTAACCTCTCGGCCACTGGGAAAGAGCCCGCTTTCCCCCTCCTTCCCCAGACCTTAGGAATGTCTGGATCTTCAAGGGTCAGAGAACCAGAGCTCCACCACAGGACCTGAACCCCAGAACCCTCCATGGGATTTCAGGTTTTTCAGTGGTGAGAATTATAGGACCCAAGTACCTGGGAGTAGCAAAAGAACGAGGCTTCCCATGGAGTCAGTTTTGTACCGAATCTGGTCAGTTTACAATCCCTGGCATAACCGTAAATACTCTCCCTACAGTGTCTTCACGTTATTTTTTTTTTTTTTAGTAGAATAGCATCAGCCCAACACAGATGAGATGAATCCTTCTCCACCCTGCACGTTAAACTTAATTGTTTAACCCCCATCTATACATAAGGTATCGTAAAAAGACAACAGAATGGCGTTACCTCCTACATATATACTGTCTACCCTGACCAGGAGCTTTCCCACAAGTAAGAGAACACAAACATTTAAGGGATCAAGAGCAATTGGGTGGATGCAGTGCAAGAAGTCACCAGTTACACAGTACAGGCTCGGAGAATCACTGAGGTGGGAAAGCACCTCCGGAGATCGTCTAGTCCAACCCCCTGCCTAGAGCAGGCTGCTTGGGACCACATCCAGTTGGGGTCTGGTCATCTCCAAAGAGATGTAGTACTACGTATTATAATAATATTTTTAATACTTATGTAATGTAGCATCACTCATCACAAAAGGCGTTTGGGTTTTTTGTGGGGGGGGGGGGGGGGGGGTTGTTGTTCAGTATTTGTATTCTTCAGGAATCTCTTCATGATTAGTCACTGATTAGAAGTTAATTAAGTTACCTGAGATAATTAAAAAAAAAAAAAGGCATGAAAGCTTCTACTAGCATACAAATTTTGTGCCACTGTGTGCTATTTAGGTATATCATGAGTCTTTCCCAAGTAACTCAAGCTTCTAAGGCTATGATCTGATTACAGAATCAAAATAAAATACTGATTGAATAAAGCAGAAGGCACTTATTTAATAGTAGGTTTTAGAAAATGAAGTGATGGTCATACCAAATCTGTTTTAAAGTTGCTTTAAGCAATAATTAGTCACAATATGGACACAAAGTCCTATTGACTAGATTGTCTGAGGATGCCAAGATTAAGGAACGTGTCGCAGTTGCATCCCTTCCATGGAAAATGCATCTTTGTTAGAGACCTGTACTCAGGTGTGAACTCATTTTCACAAAATAGGGACTGCAGCTGCAATAAAGGTTTTTAAGGAGTGAACTTTATAAAAGGGCTAAACTAACTCTCTTGTACTTCCCACTGAGAATACCCCACTAGCTGCTAAAAGAAAGGGCTGACAGCAGATACAGAGTCAAGCAGCCTGCGCAGCTGAAGTCGGATTAGAAAGAATTGAAAATGTTTACAGTAGCAGTATTTTTTAGAAGGAGTAGCTTTAGTCTAAGGATCTGATCCTCACACTGATGATTTGTGGTTCTTTTTGTTTGTTTGCAAATGAAGCTTTTTCCAAGCATAGGAATTTGCTGGTACAAATCTATAGATAAAAGAAAAAAAAACTTCCTTAGCCAGAAGTAATTTCTACTAAGTTTGTCAGTATGTTGATGGATTAAGCCTCTTCTCCAAAATCATAAGTGACTAACACAGCCCCTTCGTGGACCTCTTCATTACAGAGAAATTTAACATTGATGAGTGAACGATCAACTACATGTACAGAACAAGAATGCAAAAAGTCTAAAAACAGAGTAATTTCAACTAAAAGAAGTTTTTAAAAGACAATTAACCGCCAAACCTATTCATGAAAAATATGATGCGGCATAAATACCTGCTTCGTGTTCCTGCACCAAGGAATATAAAAGAAATTGTGAAAGCAAGCGATTCAGAGGCTCTGGAGTTTTGTGGTTTGGCTTTATGTTGGTTGGTTTTTGTTTTGTTTTTTTTTTAAAGCTGTCCTTTGGAGAATAGCATATAAAGACCTGTAAACAGAGGTTGATTGTCCAAGCTTTCTTAACTGAATTTTGATTATTTTTTTTAAATGTAAAAAACAAAAAAGTTCTATTGTTGAACAGTTTTTGGTGAAACATGCAAAACTTCCATCCAAATGCATAATTCCATTGTTGATGCAGAACCTCATAGACTGCAGAGAAGTTAAGGTTTCCTTGTATTTTGTAAGGTTAGTACCACATCACAATCCAGTAGAAGTCCCTTAATTTTTTCATGGAATTTCTCTCTGTACTGGTTGAAGTGCATAATGCTTTCTGGTTCTTCTTCAAACCAGAACCTGTCAAACTCATAAACGAGATAACCTGTAAAGAAAAAAAAAAAAAACCAAAAAAACAGACCTGCAAAAACAACCTCCACAATTTTCTGCCTTGATCTAGCTAGACCTAGAATGATCCTTTAGACTCTTATTTAATCCCTTAAAATAGGGAGTGTCCCATCCTGGTCAACAGCAAGCTTTTTGGATACTGTAATAATGGGGGAAAAAAAAAAAATCTGCAAATACTGAGTTTTCAGACTGCAATATATAGAAAGCCACCCAAACGTATGCCTTAAATGCAAATTTCTGGAGCACAATATTTAAGCATCAGGTGCATTTCCAACACCTGACCCAGAAGATAAACAGCTTGCTCTGGCTAATGAGAAAAGAGAGGAAATAACACTCCAGAAAACCTGAACTCTACATTGTAGGCCTCCGCCTGGTTGTCTGTACTAAAGCAGCTACAGATACTTACAGTAAAACTGATGGAAGTGCTCCATCTGCGGCAATCCAGAGACCGTGTTGTACAGATGAGGCTTTAAAGCACCGTTCTTAAGCAAGCTGTACGCCATTTCTGTCAGATTGATTCCAACTATTGCATAAGAATATCTGCAACACCAATCGTAGATCACATTTTACCTTACGAATTGAAGGACTTCAAAGCTTCCCTGAAACAGTCTGCATTAGGATAACTGTAAAAGTCAATTTTTCCTGTGACACTTGTTGGCAAGCTGACCCTGGCCTACAGACCACTCTTCCCATTCCCTGGTGCATCCAACCATGTAAAAGTTATTTAAGAACACTAGTTTCCTATACAATAGGATGGCCAATGCCTCCGTTAGGCAACAATGAGATGGTAAGGCTAATTAACATTGACCTCAATTTGCTCATTTGAAATCATTACATATACTGGAATATTAAAAATTGGACATCAAAAACATTGTTACAGTACAAATGGAATGGCCATTTCAACCTGTTCTTCAAGCTGAAAAAAATCTGGTTTTCTGTTGCACGGTATAGAAAGCACCACAATAGAAATTAAAGGACTGTTAAAACAGGTGTTTCTGGGGGAAGGGAAAAAAAAAAGATTAATTTGTGTCAATGATATGGGTATTTAATTGACCTAAAAGTCTCAGATATCCTATTCATGACCTAGTTTCACAAGGTAGTATTATTTACAGTTGAAGTCATGAAAGCTTCCCATTCTTGGTAGGTGATTGCGTTAACTGGGGACTAGGTGGATCAGATGATATACACAGGTTTACCAGCCTTCCTCTGTATCTGTCTGGTTTTAGAGTATATTTCCCTGTAAAATGAGCTAAATGTTTAAATATGCAAAGTTTTCAAAAATGAAGTTAAACAACAAAACATCCATCTGTGTGTATTTGTTACAGAACAGAAACCTAGCAAAGATAGGGACCTTAAGAGATAACCTATACCATCCCAACACAGGAGCAGTAAGGCAGTGAAAAATAAGTGTTCATTTCTAAATCTAATCTAAGCCTATTACAAATAAAGCTAACTATGATGTTAAAGGCATTCACTCTGTTAACCAAAGCCAACATTTTTGTCCCAAAAAGTCTATTCTGAAGAAAAAAAGAAAAAAAAGCTGCACAGTTCTCAGCCTGAAACTGATTCTGTGTTTGGTTTCTCACGCCTTTCTACTTTGGCCCTTTTTTTCATCCTTTAATGGAAAAAACCCACACATATTTTCCTCTTTATTTGCAGGGCACATACTTGGCAGTCTTCACATGAGCTCTTACACAGAACAAGCCAGAAAAAGTCATATAGCAACTTACCCCAGCTTTGGGTGATTTGAATGAGAAAGGATCTGACGAGCTTCGTCGGTGTAATGCTTACTAAAATACCTGCCAGCGTAAAACACGATCTTCCGTTACTTTTTCAAGTTCATATAAAAAAAAATTGTGTTCAACATCGAAATATGTAGCTTTAAACTAAAGCGGAACACTACTGTGTACTGAAAAATGGCACAAAACGAAAACTGAGGATAAGGTAGCAAATTAAAGTATATTCAGCATGAACTAATACAGTAAGAAAAAAAATACTGTGATTTAAACATCAACTATGAAGTTCACCCGAGTCCACAAATTAGCTTAGCAAAGCAATGCAAACCTATTTATTTTTCATTACAGTAATTCAGGAATTTTAAAAGCTTTTGACAAGTTACTTTCGAAGTTATAACCTATCAATTCTATTGTATGACAACAAAATAATGTGTCTTGAGTAACCTTCTGTTCCTCTCCTCACTTGTTGGCCTCTACTCAACCACATGTCTACAGATGTGCGGCCCCTCGAAATGTTGATTTGCTTAGAAAATACTGGTTTTCACTGTACAGAAGCCACCATTTCTATTTGCTTCTATTCAGTCTTTATTAGAAATAGCACTAACTATAGAATATACACAGCTATTGAAAATTGGTTACAAGAGAAATGAAATTCTTCTTTTCACTTACACCAGATTCACTAACCCCAGCAGGCCCATTCCTCTGAAGTCTGTTTTGGGATCATCACCTTGGAAGCCAATGTCGCACCACTGCTTGGTGATCCTGGCCTTCAGATTCTCATGAGGCATCAGCAAATTCCAAAGCTGCACAAATATGCTTCCATGTTACGCACAGCTGCTAAAGTATTCCAAGTCACATTAATTCAGAACACTTGCTGCTGCACATTAGAAACCATTCACTGAGGAACAGGATACAATCTGCACGCTCCCCTTTTCTGTTAGGGGCATTCTGGAGCCGTATTACAATGGCTTATTTCAGCAATTATGAAAATGATTACATTTAACATTAAATGCGGTCATTTCCCTTCACGGACAAAGCCATTGTATCAATACTAAAGAAACAAAGACTTGTTTCATTTCAGGAATTAATTTATGCATAATTTTCTGATAGGACAGCTATAAACTGAAATACAAATTCTCAACGAATGCGTCCTTAACACGTCAATATTGGGACTTGCACAGCCAGTGGAGATAATTCTGAAATGCTAAGAAAATGCCATGCTAATGTATTTGCTCAGTAGAAGCTATTTTAAAAAGCCTCAAGCAGTATTATATTATTTGCTTGCTATTAGTTACCTAAAATACATTACCGATAGGTTTTTATCTTCCAGCATGGAACTATCCTCTTTGACACTGACTGGGATGCAGTAGTAAGAAAACATTCTTTTATTTAGTAATTATGGGTTTACAAAGTTAGATGTGTGCATAAGGTTAAATATCTTTTTAGTTAGGATCCTTCAGTGATGTGTTACAAAATTATTTTGCTACTTATGTGTTTTGTCCAATTTCACACACAATAATCCCAGTGCAAGTAACTAGTTTACTAATTTGTTTTGCTTTGATGTCGTATTTTAATGTGTCACTTCTATAATAGCTCAGCAGTTCACAAGTAGAAAAGAGCTTTAAATAGGCCAGCTGGTAAGAATACTACCAATAAATTAAGTTCATTCAAGCTGTTGGACTGGGAGGGAAAAACCAAACAAACAGCTTTTGTAGTTAAAAGATTATTTTCACCTCAATTAACTGTTCCTCATGTTCTTCGTTATCCGAATCATATGGGACCTTCCTCAGATTTTCCACATTCAAATAAAGTTTTTTATAACCTGATATCTGCAGTAAGGATATATGCAGATTTGTCTTAAACCTGAAATAACAAAACACCACACAGATATTAAGAGGCATAGTTAGCCATAAATTCTTGCTTTTCAACTACCAGATAAGACCTTTCTTATGTTAATGCAACGTAAAGACTAGAATTAGGAAATGCTTTATGTTTCCCTTTCAAACTACAGTATACTGGTTAAGTATAATGCTATACAGATCTTATTTCTACTTTAAAAAAAAACCTCTAGCCAATTCCAGTGCTGCACAGTCAGGCCCTATTTGCTTAAATTATAGAAGAAAAAAAAATAACTTGGCTAAAACCTGTGATGACCCAAGAAGACTCCGTATTTCATCCTGACCCCTGTATCTTCACCTACCCCCAAACTTTTTGTAAGTCTTAAAGTGAAACTTTGTCAGAAATATTTACAGCTTCAAGGAAGCATTCCATTAAGCTTTCAAATTTTGACTATTCACAATTTTTCCTCGCAAGCGCTCATAATGACTTATGCAGACGAATACAAACATTAACCAGGCATCGCTATACTCTCTCAAATATATCTAAGCAATTACATAGTTCATGTAATCAACCTATGCAATAGTCAGTGATTGGAAATAAGGAGTAACAGAAGGGACTTGCAAGACAGAGATGCAGTTATCCCAAATCCATGTCAACTAAAACTTTGCAATTTATTTTCTAGAACTGAAGAGGACATAACCATATCTTGTTTTCTAAATTCATTCTGAGTATTTGTGCTGAATGGCCTAAATATTGTATCGGATTAGGCAACGGCAAGAATGTGTCAAGAAGTCAGAATTATCTGCCATGAGGAGCTTAGGTTGAGGTTCCAAACGTACCCTGTATCCTTCTGTTCAATCTTCTTTTCTTTCATTACATCTCTGACACACTTCTCCACTTCCGCTTCTTCAACATGTACAGCATTTCTTAAAACCTAGGAAGTTAACACAGTAAAAGACTTCATGAGGAACACAGAAATCTATCATCTACTTGATTCTTATTCCTTGGCTTCTGTGTATACCTGCATTCTTTACTATAAAAGGAGGACAGTCGATTTATTGCAAATGTTTACAATAAATGGGCTCAAATTGCATACAAAAGACCTGCAATAATTACATAAAGTGTAATTTGTAACTTTATCAGACTGTAAACAACAATGTTTACACAGGAGTCCCATAAGGAATAAATAAAAAGCTGGAGAGTTGTTTAGTCTAGGTTGTGGTTTGCTTTCAAACACTGAATTGAAACATGTTCTTCCTAATCCAACTGAAACAAACACAGCTATCTGGGAGCAAAAGTGATAAAACTTCAGTAAGGAAATAACGCTTCAGAACTGGGAGACAGTGAACTAACAAAGCTGAGGTTTCAGTGCTGGGGGAAACAAAAGAACTTCAGGTAAGGTGCTGCTCTTCTGCAGCCTTCTAGAGGGAAGGGCAAATACTAGTAACGATGATTATACGCTGCCCACCTAAAATCACGTCACAACAATTTAACGTTGTCTTCTAAACTTTTTATGGCCGCAATGCAGTCTTTATAATTCATGCTAACACCAAAGCAGCTTCATTTCAGCAAAGCAAAAGGTTAACTCTTGTAAAACTGAACATCAATATGTTTGATATAATCATTTAATTAAGAGATGCTGTAAGACCCAACCGTACCACGCTCTACTGCAACAAAGATGCTTGGGCAGTTGCTAATCCTCTCTCAGCGTCACATTGCAGTGATTGGCTAGCAAAAGGGTGAATGCAGTCGCCTCGCTGTCTAAAGAGGAAAAGTTTTGTTCAAGATACTCGGGTCTGAGGGTTTAAAGCGTTAGCTTGTGTCCAACTGCTACAGAACAATTGGAATGAGCTTGTCAGTTAAACGTCTACCTGCAAATTTGTGTTACAGTTTTTTTTCAGCAGTTCAATACACTATTGCAGGCACTGCATTTAATTGCTTTATCTGGGTCATTCATATATATCACACTTCTGGTTTCTACAAAAACAGCAAGGGGATTGTTGTGACAGGGAGAACTGACCCCCTCCAAGAACAGGGCTCTGTATAACGACCTGTCTGGCTGGCAGCTAAAGAGTGGGGAACCATTCCGAGAGATGGAAACAAACATTTGAAGGGACACGGGGTTATTTTTGAGAAACCCTGACTAACCCCAGCATACAGAACCCAAAACGCTGTTCTCTCCACCTTCAGTTACTCTACTTTCCTCCACCTTCAAAAAGTAAACACGTGCGTTCTTTTCTGGGGCCTGTCTCTGAAGGAAGTTTTTATTACATCTCTAGTGATAGTGGCTTTTACCTTATTCTTTGATGATTCCAGTGAATGTTCTGCAATACAAAAAAAAGTAAACGCCACGGTTAAATGGAGCTGAATTGTTTTAAATAATTGACAACAGGCGTTCTTGTGGCATGTAAGCATTATAAAATTTTGCATCCCTTTTATACATGTAATTAATAAAAAACTACTGAATCTTAAAATCAACAAGTATCGGGTAACGGAAAGTCTTCATTTACATAGATTTTTTTAGTAATCCTACTCGATTTTTTTTTTAAAACAGCGATTAATTACATGTACAATAAGACAAATTTGACAAGGTGTCAAGACAAAAGTATGTCTCTTCATATTTTTCCATTCTTAGAAATGTTTTTATTACTGGAGAATAAGGAAGGGAAGTCACGTCCTCACGCTATTGTTAAAACAGCAAAAACTAGAGGTAGTTTCTTAAATTACCATTTTAGATCAAAATCCTGCACCAAGCAGAACTGTGCGTCTAATCACTTCCCCCCCCCCATAAGCCTGTTCTGCGTGGCCTTTTTTAATAACAGGAAGGTTAAAACGTACACAAGGTGACAGAAACACTTTGGGGAAAAATACAAGATTTCTGATTCACTGTTTTGAATCGAAGTGAAGTTCCCTTAGCAGACAGGCGCTGAAACTAGGGCCTGGCATTGCGATCCGAAGTCCTCGGGGAACAGCCCGGAGGAAGGGACGGGTGCCCACCCGGCCCGGGGGCCGCACAGG